CTGGTTTCATCTAGTTTCAATTGATCTCAGCTATTGTTTTTGAAAGCCTACAACTAATTTCTTCTAGTTCCAACTAGTTGTAACTCCTTCAATCTTTGTTTGAGGCCTTTCTTGTATTTACTGAATTTTGATTTTGATCATCATCTTAAGCAAGAGAATAATTCTAGAACCAAGCTGATGTTTCTCATCTTTACTTCATGCCCAACTTGAGAGCCAACTTAATCTTATTGTTGTAATGCAATCCAATTTCATAAGTGAGTTTTCATATTCCGTCTTCCTTGGAGAAAAATTCATCTCTCAGACTACTAGTCCAACTTTGTTAGTGAAATCAATTTTCTACCAAAACTGTTGTAGTCTAAAACTGCAGTGCTAAAACTGAAAGAATTCGACTCAAAACTATTGTTCTTCTAAACCAATCTTCATTCAAATTGTACAAGAACAGGTACTAGATGTTTATAGCTTGCCCATAAAGTTTCAGGCCAATTCATTAGTATTTGAACTTCTAAATCCATGCTTGAAGGCAGCCAACTCAGAATTCCATTTTTTCTTCATAGATTTGATAATTGACAATTCTTCTCTTCTTCTTGTCCAATCTTGAGATGAATTTGGTTGAGAATACTCACAAGATGTAATTCCCATTCAGTCCTCTTATCAATGCTTGTAATCTTGTGAATTCTTCCAGTATAGATCATCCAACTCAGCCTCAAACTTGATTTTATTCAATCTCAGACTTTTGTCTCTTTGGCTTCTAGAAGCAGCATCTTACTTTAGGTGAAGAGTAACCTTTAGACTTGTGACTTATCCAATTAACCAAGCATAATGTAACACCCCTGGTGTTTTAAAACATAAAACAGGACATGTCATCATATGCATTGCAAAGCATTTGGTCTTAGTGAAAACTTTGATATGCATTCACTAAAACAAGTTTATAGTTATGTTATAAGTGTTGCCTCGTATGGTTTGAATCAAGTTCAAAGTTTTGTTTGGATTTGAATTTTCAAAAACCCTAATTTCAGCATTTAAGTTTTGCCCTGGAAAACCCATTTCAAAATCTAAGCACATTTTGGGGTTGAGTCTTAAAGCAAAAGTGTAGAGCTTGTTGAGTTGTACAAAGTTGGTTTTTGGAGTTTTCAAAGTTGTTTAGAAAAAAATGAAGTAATTTAAAAAGGCGTAATTCTTTAAATGTCCCCTTTTTGAATTCAAATTTGCATTTCAAAATGTAGACTGAATTAGGGGTGGTTATAAAAGCAAAGTTGTAGAACTTTGAATTTTGAACAACTTTTATTTTTGGAGATTTTTGAGTTGTTACATAAATTTGAGAGTAATTTGGATTTTAAAATGAATGGCAATTTGGTAATTTTGGTGAACAGTAGCCACCGAAGCCAACTCACCGTCGGCGAGCTTCTATTTCGTTCTGGTCATCGCCGTGGCCGTCTTTAGCTTCGCGCTGGCACGGGGAAGGCTCCTGCGTGGCTTCCTTGTGCTTCTGAGTTGTGTTATAAGGCCTTCATCGTCGTCGTCTTCGCCTTTTCTCCTCCTCTGTTTTCCCGACGCCGCCGCCATAGCTCCGTCGAGCTCGCATCGCCTCCTTAGCGCAAACCAGCCTCGGCAAAGCATCATCTGAGCTCCGCTTGCTCCTTGTGCACTCAGTCGACCTGCCATTGCAGCTTGAATTCACCGGGAAACACCGTTCGTTGCTCTTCTTCCTCGCGGCCGACAGTATCGCCGTCGCAAGCGCGTCGCCGTGGCCGGAGCTTCACGGTGCGTCTTTGTCCTTGCGCAGCGTAGCTCCAGCTTCGCCTTGATCCCGTGATGCTCTATGACCGGTTGTTTTATCCTTTTGACCACCGCAGTCGCCGGAACACCGCCACCGACTACCGTTGCTCCACCGTGGGTGTTGTGCACGTCGAACCACTCATCTGTTGCTCTTCCGGTCCAGCTTTCTGCTCTAGTGCGTTTGGGGTGAGCTCCTGGTTCTTCCTGAGTTGTTTGTTTCACCGCTTTCGGCTTTGTTTCGCTGGTGTAGCACCGCCGAGCCGCCATGTCCGCCATGGCCAGCGTCGTGCTCGGTCTAGTCCGTAATTGGTCTCTCTTGTGCCACAAATCGATGTGCCGTGATGTAGTGATCATGTTGGTGCCTTCGCCGTCGCCGGTGACCTCGCTGTCGACGAGATTTCGCCGGTCAAAGCCGCTGTCGCCGTGGTCAGCGCGGGAAGTAGGGGATGACATGTGGGGTCGGGTTGTCAGTGACTCAGTGTTTCAAAATGGAATTTTTCTATTTTCAGAAATGGATGAATAGTGTGTGTTTTTGTTATTTTTGTGTAGAATTAATTAGAGGTTCAAAAATTATGAAAATTTTTGTGTGATCTCTCTGTGATGTATATTATTTAGGAAAAATATGAAATGTTGTTTTTCAGTACTTTTTAAATGTGATAAAAATTTCTCAATTAATTAATAAATGAGTTTCCATGATTTTTCTAGGCTTAATTAATTATCCAAAAATTATGAAAATTATTTTGCCTCTTAGTTATCATGTGATGAACCTTTAAAAAAATTTTGAGCTCAATTGAAATAAGTTGATTTATTTCATAATTTTGAATTAAATAATTAATTCATAAAAGCAAATAGTAACCTTTAATGATTTAGGTTTTGATTGAATTTTGGATTGAGTGATGACCTTGGGTCATTGGTTGATAATGATCCTTGGCAATGGAATTAAGTGTTACAAAAAAGGTGTAGTTAGTTTGACTTGTAACTATACCGCGAAGGAAAGTTGTACTCAAGTTGTTAATTTTGCATCCATCATCGAGCATCATGTTTTATATCTCGCATCATGTTAAACATGGCATTGTTACTACATGTAGTGAACGAAGGTGAGCACGTGGTAGTTAATCAAGTTGTGGAAGAAGTTAATCTGCCTATTTAGGTCGGATTTGGTAAGTGTGGAACGACTCCGGAACCTAACTTTTCCGTCAACGAAGGCAAACCCCGGATGCATTTAAACCTACCTTGTGTTTTACAAATTGATTTCGCTTTTGCTTTTCTTTACTGCATTAAGTGATTAGGAGTTAAGTGAAAACCTAATTGGTGCATTACCAACCTTATTTTTCCATATCTACCTTGTTACCAGTTTTAATTCGTATATGGCTAGTTATGCTTAGTCATGCTTAGACAAATAAAGGTCGGGTGATTACCTGTCACCTACGAATTTTAAATGGATCTTTGGTTACGCTTGGTTACTTATGTTATCATGAGATACGAGCATGTAAAGTAATAAATCTAGACCGGGTGGACTCGGTGTATGGGAGCCACAAGACTTGGAGGTCTTGTGAGCGGGTTCTTTCCGCCTGTGTCGATTAAGGTCCGTCCGTTGTTGAATTGCATGAGGTGAGACTTTGTAGTACTAACCACATACTCTGGTAAGCCTTAACTTGGCTATTCTATTACGAGAATGGCTACTTGCGCACTGGGAGTGGAGAGATGGCGGGAATAGCATGTACCCACGTGGCAATAGGCTGGATTGGTGGAGTACTATATTCTCGGGTGGCGTAGACCCGTTCTTGTTTCAGAGGACCTAAGGGTAGGTTGGTATATGTAGGTCAGGGACTTGCATATGTCGTGTGGTCTGGAATTCTCAGCTGGGTTTTAATTGGTTCGAATCGTTGTTGCTCCTCGGTTATCGAGACTCAACTCACTGTTCATCATCGTAGTTTAATAACTAAAATTTGAGCTGGATTTGAGAAAGAGCTTGATACTGGACTAGAGGACGTGCATTTGAGCAACTCTGCACAGCATCTTGAGCTTGTAAAATCAAACATGCTAAAAACGCTAGAAATTCATGGCTTCTTTGGTCGAGGCAAAGGACTCACTATTGCTACTGGAAGAAAATTCTTGGCAAAAACAACCATTCTAGAGGGTGCACATATAGATACTTGGTGTTCTGGATGCACTTTTGATGGTCAGTCTGATCTTATTGGTATTGTTTTGCATGCCAAGAGACTCGCATTATGCGGTTCTGACATAAAGGTATGCTTGACTCATGACAAGTTCCCCTGTTTCAGTGTTATGAATATTCTGAATGGAAACTGGTTGATCTTTTTTTTGTATGCTACTCATGACAAGCAATTTTTCATTTTTTTTCTAGTCCATCTGGATGTGTTATGTATTTATTGTGTTTATAAGCAGAATAAAAGTGATGTTGAACAACTTCCTTTGATTAGTTGAAGGTCCAACAATTGCACAGACACTGGCAATGTTGTTGCTTGCTAGAAATATGATTGGCCATCCTTATTGATGGTTTAGTGGTACAAAATTTATGTACTGATTGACAATAAACTATGCAACTTACTAGAATGAAAAATCTTGACTGCAAAAATGTGCTTCGGAAATAAAAAAATGTTTCTTCTTAAGATCATAAGTTTTGGATTCTGCTGTATCTCTCAATCTAGATTCTCTGTGCTCCAATAAATATAATATAAATCTTTTCGGGAGTTCAAGAGTGAAGCCTTCGTTCTTGTGCGGTTTGTATCTACAAATTGATTGTTAGATGTGGTACTAAAGCTTAGGGCCTGTTGTGCTCCATGATATGTTGTGCAAAGTGGTGCCATTTGATTATTGGCGGCTATGCCTACGTTTCTAAACTTATTTGTTCATTACTATTATGTCCGCCGATATCCTCGGCATATGTTGACCCGCCCTCTTGAAAATCTAGGCTATGTTGGAAAAGGAACCGCCTACATGCTCACTGCTCGACAATCTTGTAACTCTTGAAATTGGTGGATGGTGTTTGACCAATGACTTGTACATTGTAGTTCACTTCCTCCAATTTTCACCAAGACTTGAAAAGCTTACCTTAAAGCGAGAGAAAGGTATGCTTCATTCACAATTATTATCGCTTTTGCTAGAGAAGATCAAGAAAGTGTCTCTTTATTTCTCTTGTCGCTTGCGACTTTACAAGGCAATGATAGAAGAAACAACAAGTTCAATGTCAATTCTTTGGAATGACATTCAAGTGCCCACTCCTTGAAACACTCATAATACTATGTTCCAAGGATGATGTCGAAATCGGGAAGACGATAGCTACTATGGTAGCACTTGGCATCGGCTTGGAGAAAATACAAGTAATTTTTTATGAGGATATTGAAAGAGCAGAGAGGTGGGGTGTGAGTCTGGAAGAGTTGAAGAAACAGGACGCCTTAGATAAGATGCTGAAGGAAAATCGAGAAAAGGTAAAGGGTAGTAATGCACGGAGTGATAACAATAACGATGGAGACGAGATGGAGGATGAAGACTACTACAGCGATGAAGAAGAGATGGATGACGAGGACAGTGAGATGGATGATGAAGATGACGACGACGATATGTAGGACTAGGCAACAATGACGTCTTTAGAGCTCAGTGAGTTTCTCCACAGTTGTCCGCCCTTTTGCACAGCATGGACCTGATCCATTCTGTAGTACTATGTTAGTCTTGGATTCTTCTTAGTCTTAGTAGTGAGACTTGATGTTGGTGAGGTCAAGTTTAAATTAAGTATTTAAGTTTATGATATGCTCCTGATTGCTAGACCTCAGAAAATCAAGGCCAGTAACTGCATGATTTTTGCACAGTTTCATGTCGAGCATGGACCCTTAGAGCAACTCCAACATACTTAAAAATCTAGAGCCGAAAATGCTTTGAAGCCTCTCTAGAAAACAACCCTCCCACGGCCTCTCTCCTTGGTAGCAGACCGACAATCGTCCCCATTGGCCGGTCATGTCGAGAAAGGGTCGCCTGCGCTGCGCCCTTGAGGATGAGAGGAAGCACAAGGCCGGAACGAGCGCACCCCCCCCCCCAAACACTGGTTTTAGACATAAAATCCAATAATTACCTCCTAGAGATGGTTTAAGAATCTTGAAGTTGCTCTAAGATCAGACTTTGTGGGAGTGTTATTAGAGTTTCATGGCCATAAATAGGATGTCACCTCAATAGAAACAACAATTTTGCACCATATTGATGAAGAGAAAGAGGATAAGAATTTCATGGGATGAAATGAACCAGCACTGTCATACGCCTCATGTGGCGCCACATTTGTCAAGACCCTTATGGGAGGTAAATCGAACTACCTTAATAGTTCTGGGGTCAAATAGACCTTACCCAAAAAAGTTACAAAAATAAATCTTCAAAAAGTTTCTAACACACACGTGACAATTTTGGAAGATCTATTTCTATATATTATTAACTCATTAAACCATTTATTTATACTATTTGTTATCTATATTATAATGGTATATATTACTCCAATGATATTAAAGTTATATACACAAGAAAACAAATTTTCTCTCTTTATTAAACTTCTCGGTCGTGGGCTTCCAGCTAAACTCATCATCTCCCTACTTACCTGGCGAGGCATATTTCATAAAATCTTAGTCAACTCTCAAACAACACATTTTACTAGACAAATCATCAGGTCTCCAACTAAATAGGTTAGGGAATCTAGGATGTGCATGTGCTAGTGCCCGATGGAGAATAAGCCGCCAAATCATCATACCATACCATGCGGCCCACACACGCTCATCTCATCAAATCAACACATCACTGCTTTAGTGGTAGCTTCAGCCAATGGCAAGGCGCTTCACGTGAGGTGGGGATGTGGTGTCAACTGACGGGTAGGTATGAAGCGGCCATACCATGCCATAGTGGTAGATCCGTCTTGTGTGCGGTCACCATGGATGAAAAGAGGGTTTCGCCGCTTGCTCGCTTGGACCATGGGCATTGCGCTTGGACCATGGGCATTGTCTGCGGAGCTACGGTTCTTGCTCTTGCCCAGAACATGACTCCTGAGTTCAATTGCTGCGCCGTGCCATTGCTGCCATCGCAGCTCCTCCTGTGCGCCTTCCTCTATGTTATTCTGTTGCTCGCATCGGCGGCCCGGCATGGAGACGAGACATCATAGTCGCATTGTCATCGTCATGGGCCTCTACTAGGCATCGCACCTATAAGGAAAATGAACCCTTGGCTCATTTAGTTTGGATTTTAGTGTTTGATGATCAACACAACCAAGTTGGACTAATGTGTTTGCAAGTGTATGTTTTGTAGTCCAATAGGTTGCATAGCGGACTTAGACCGAGAGTGGAACATGAAGAATTGATCAACACTCTAAGGAAGATACTAAGAGGATGTGTGATCAATCTAGAAGTGAAGCTAGGAGTCCAAGACGCAAAATTAAGAAGCACGGACCAAGACACAAACAAAATTAAAGTCACCGAAACCGAGACAAAGATGTGAATGAATTGGAATTGTCTTGTGATTTTGGATCAGCTCAAATTGATATGGCACCAGTTCAGAGTTGTAGAGCTCTTCATTAGCTTTCCAAGAAAGTCCAAGATCATCGAAATTGGACTTCGGAGCAAAGAGTTATAGCCATTTTAACGAGTGGTGGTCAGGCATAGGACTGCACTGTAGTAGTCCGGAGCACATGACTCAGTTCGGTGGTTGGGTCCGGAGCTTCCAAAATAGGTATTCGGAAGGCAAAACACACTGGACCCAGTGGTGCATGGTCCGGAGGTAGGCTCAGGACCGGGTCCAGAGCCAAAATACCTTTCAGTGTAGTTTCTGGACACCTCAGGACTGAGGTGCGCATTGGTCCAGAGGTAGAGTCCGGAGCTCGGTCCGGAGCATGGAAAAGAGCCGTTGGAGCGCGTCAACGATCGGTTTTGAACGTGTGGACAACAGGACCCGAGGTACATGGTTCGGAGCCCTCATAGTCCGGGTCCGGAGCTCAGTTTAGAGCTCACGTTTTCAGCCCAATGAAGGGGTAACAGCTAGTTCTCAACTTTGGGGCTATAAATAAGCCTCCAACCGGCCAAAACATGTGTGGAGAAGCTATGGGAAGATGTTAGAGTGTTGATACACCATTTGCATAGAGCTTAATAGCTCACAAGGTGATTAGCGTAGGTGCTTTGCGAAGTTCTTAGGTTAGTTAGACCATGCTCAAAATGCACTTGTTCTAGGTTTAGGCTTAGTGTTTAGTGATGTTTGCATACATCTTAACACTCGGTGCTTGTGCGCACCATTGTTGTACTCGGCAAGACTTATAAGCCTTGCGAGACCATACCAACCGTGATTGTGGTGTGGGCGCCACCATGTACGAAGGGAACAAGGCCCGCGACGGTTCGGCCGAAAGCTTTATAGTAAAGACGGCGGGGAGCGTTCTGGGAGAAGCTTGCCGAAAGACACACCGGAGACCCACTTATGTGTGGGGAAGGCCCAGGGTTATCCATGGAGTTATCCGACCGGGAGGTTGGCCCTTATGAGGTTCT